AAGAAAAGATAAAAAGCATATGATCATATCAATAGATGCAGAGAAAGCATTTGATAAGATCCAGCACCCCTTTATGATGAAAACCCTAGCCAAAATGGGTATAGAGGGGACCTTCCTCAACATAATTAAAGCCATCTACCACAAGCCTACAGCAAGTATCATCCTCAATGGGGAAAAACTGAGAGCCTTCCCTCTAAGATCAGGGATGAGACAGGGATGCCCACTCTCTCCACTGCTGTTCAATATAGTACTGGAAGTACTTGCAATAGCGATTAGGCAGGAAAAAGATATTAAGGGCATTCAGGTAGGAAAGGAAGAAATCAAGCTCTCACTATTCGCAGATGATATGATACTCTACTTAGAGAACCCAATAACTTCCACCAAAAAACTCGTAGAAACAATAGACTCGTATAGTAAAGTTGCAGGTTATAAAATCAATACCCAAAAGTCCATGGCTTTCCTATACGCAAACAGTGAGAGAGAAGAAAGCAACATGAAAAAAACAATCCCATTCACAATTGTGCCCCAGAAAATCAAGTACCTAGGAATCAGCTTAACTAAGGAAGTAAAGGACCTGTACAAAGAAAACTACAAAATGCTACTTCAGGAAATAAAAGAGGACATGAGGAAATGGAAAGATATCCCCTGCTCATGGGTTGGGAGACTTAACATTGTCAAAATGGCAATACTACCGAAAGCATTGTATAAATTCAATGCAATCCCTATAAGGATACCTATGACATTCTTCAAAGAAATGGAGCAAACACTCCTGAAATTTATATGGAACAATAAGCCCCCACGAATAGCTAAAGCAATTCTTGGGAAAAAGAAAATGGGAGGAATCAACCTCCCGAACTTCAAACTGTACTGCAAAGCAGTAATAATTAAAACAGCATGGTACTGGAACAAAGGCAGAACTGCAGACCAATGGAACAGGGTTGAATACACTGACATCTCCCCTCAATCATATGATCATCTAATCTTTGATAAAGGTGCAAGTAATGTGAAGTGGAGTAAGGAAAGCCTCTTTAATAAATTGTGTTGGCATCACTGGACGGCTACATGCAAAAAAATAGGCTCAGAACTCTGCCTAACACCATGTATAAAAGTAAGATCAAAATGGATTAAAGACCTCAACATCAGACCAGAAACCATAAGGTACATTGAAGATAAAGTTGGCAAAACCCTCCATGACATTGAAGCTAATGGTATCTTCAAAGATGCCACGCCACTGGCCAAGCAAGTGAAAACAGAGATAGATAAATGGGAATATCTTAAACTAAGAAGCTTCTGCACCTCCAAAGAAACAGTGACCAAAATACAAAGACAGTCTACAGAATGGGAAAGGATATTCGCCGAATACACATCTGACAAGGGGTTGATATCCAGGATATACAAAATACTGGTTAAACTCCACAAGAAGAAAACATCCAACCCCATCCAAAAATGGGGCAATGAAATGAACAGAAACTTTCTCAAAGAAGAAATCCGAATGGCAAAAAAGCACATGAGAAAATGCTCTACATCATTAATCATCAGGGAGATGCAGATCAAAACCACAATGAGATACCATCTCACACCTCAGAGACTGGCCCACATTCAAAAGAACAAAAGCAACCGATGCTGGCGTGGATGTGGCGAGAAAGGGACACTCCTTCACTGTTGGTGGGAATGTCCACTGGTTCAGCCCTTCTGGAAAACAGTATGGACGATTCTCAAAAAAATTAGAATTTGAGCTCCCATTTGACCCAGCAATACCACTCCTGGGAATATATCCCAGAGAGGCAAAAATGTATAGTCGAAGTGACATCTGCACTTGTTTGTTCATTGCAGCACTCTTTACAATAGCCAGAAACTGGAAGAAACCTGAATGCCCAAGAACAGATGACTGGTTAAAGAAACTTTGGTACATCTACACAATGGAGTACTATGTAGCTGTTAGAAAAGATGAAGTCATGAAATTTACATACAAGTGGTACAATATGGAAAGTATCATGCTAAGCGAAATGAGTCAGAAAGAGAGAGATAGACATAGAAAGATTGCATTCATCTGGGGGATATAAAGTAACAAAGTATGAGATTAATACCCAAGAATAGCTGAGATCAACACCAGGAGGATTACTCCATAACTTAGAGGCCAGCCGGGTATCCTAGAGGAAAGGGCAGTTCAGATAGAGAAGGGAGCACCAAATAAAGGATGTTTGGAGGATCCTCCCAGGAGGGGAGATGCATGTCGAAAGTGGACTATGGACTGAACATGTTTGCCACTCAATGCCTCTTTTGCAGACCACAACACCCAAAAGGAGAGAGAGAACACAGGGGATTGCCCTGCCACAGAGACAGGGGGGATGGGGGGATGGGGGTGGGAGGGATATTATCCATGGTGGTGGAAAATGGGCACTGGTGGAGGGATGGGTATCTGATCATTGTATAATTGAAACCAAAGCACAAAAAATTGTAAATCTACAACTGTAAAAAAAAAATAAAATAAAATAAAGGGAAAAAAAACTCAGTTGCTCATACAAAGAACTGCTCAACTTTAGTAGTTTATTAAGATAACTTTGTTTCACATAAGCCTTGTAACCAGGTATCAACCTTAAGAGAGCTTTATCCAGGAGTGTGAAATCCTTACTCTTTTATGGTAACCTCCGTGAGTATTTTAACACATTTATATAAGTTTTCCTAGAAATCATAACTCTACAATGAAACATTCTAGAAGAGTTTCTGGTTAATTCCTAATATGAAGTGAACTTCTGCCCAGCGTAATTAAATGCTATAAGATCTTTAGTTGTGAGCATCTTAAAGCCTTTTGGACATCTACAGAATTGATTTAATGCTTCTGAAAGAGTACTGCAGAGTACATTTTTGTCATGCTAAATGAGATAATGATTAGCAACGTGTTTCCAAATTTCTTGGGAGATCAAATTGTACTAAACTCAGTAAAATAAAAAGGCTAAAACCCGCAGGATGGGGCTGAAGAGATAGTCCAGCAGGTAAGGCGTTTGCCTTGCACGTGGCCAATCCGGGTTTGATTTCTGTCATCCCATATGGTCCCTGAGCACCACCAGGAGTGATTCCTGAGTGCAGAGCCAGGAGTCACCCCTGAGCATCGCTGGGTGTGATCCAAAAAGCCAAAAAAAAAAAAAATCCCAACCTGTAGAATGTGACTAGAAGGAGTAAAGATGTATATTTTAAATAAGAAAGAAAATGGATGGAGATATCATTAGTGGAAAAGAGAAAGAACCCTGTTAATAAGTGAAGCTGGTTTTGAAATGAAATGAAGGAAAGTTATGGGATAGAATGAATGTAAGGGAATGTTCAGAAAGTTTGAGGTTGTGTTTTAAGGAAAGAAACTATGATCAAACTGTATAAGGAACTCTAATTATTTCTGCAGAAATGTTCTCTTTTCCCACCCAACTTAAGATCCCACTTAGCCTCTCCCAGGGAGCAGCTCTACCCCAGCCTAGGAGGGGACAGTAGGGTTCTCCCGGGAGCGCACCCCAATAACCTTCTCCTATTTCTTCACTTTACTTCTCTCTGTCCTTCTGTCTGCGCCAGCTGAGGTCAGCAATCTACCAAGTAGGGTTGTGTGGGGGGGGGGGGGAGGGGGGAAAGAGAGAGAGTCAAGGAGAGGGGAGGGAGAAATAGAAAAAAAAGGCAGAGAGAGGGAGAGTGTGCAGGGAAGCATGAAGTAGAGAAGGGGGAGCTAGATTGATTAGTAAGAAAGACAAATATGCAGGAAGAAAAGCCACTGAGTCACCTTGGACACCATCATGTATCTCCCTGCCCTGCCTCCCCTTCTCTCCGGGTGCCATGCAGGCAGCAGCTCTCCACAGCCACCACCAGGAGGACCTCAGCGCTTTCCTGTCTCTAAGGAGTTCTGACCTCTCTAAGGCCAAGCAGTGGGGAGAACCGCTGGGGGTCCAACCCTGCTGGCCGCCAGCACCGCTGGGCCCTGATTACTCAGTGACCCAGTTGCATTGGCTAAGTATTGCTGGGAGTAACCCTCACAGCACTGCTTGGGAGATTTAAAATATATATATATATTTTTTCAAAGAAATAAGTGAAAAACAGCCTTGGAAGCCGGTGTGAGGAACTGGGAGCAGACCACAGGTGGCCAAGCTGAGAATCTGTGAACTGTAAGGAATTCGAGTCAAAAATATATTTCCTAGAACAGTCTGGAATGATAATTATCTTATCAAAGCATCTTTTTATGATATCTCATTATCTCATTCCTACTCTGGACAAACTTGCAGGCTATCGAATATAGCCTGCCCACAGGGCAGAGTCTGGCAAACTCCCCGTGGCGCACCAAATATGCCAAATACCAGTAACAATGATGGGTCTCATTCTCCTAAAAAGCCTTGAATATAATCTCAGGGCTAGGATGAAAGAGACGTTACTGGGGCCTGCTCGAAGCAATCGACGATTAACAGGATGATGAATGAATGAATGAAAGTCTGGAATGCTTCTAAATATCCAGAGATTTAGGGATTATAACGGTTTAGCCAACAACAGCCCCAACAACCTGCTCAGTATTTTCAGTTCATGTGGATGATGGCATAGCGGGTAGGGCGTTTGCCTCGCATGCAGCCAGCCAACCTGGGTTCAATTCCTCCATCCCTCTCCGAGAGCCCAGCAAGCTACCGAGAGTATCCCGCCCGCATGGCAGAGCCTGGCAAGCTACTCGTGACGTATTCGATATGCCAAAAACAGTAACAACAAGTCTCACAATGGAAACGTTACTGGTGCCCACTCAAGCAAATTGATGAACAACGGGAGGACAGTGCTACAGTGCTACAGTGAATGATGGAGCTGAAAAACAGAGAGCCCCACCCCACCCCACCCTAAGCCCCAACACGGCTGCTCCCAGCTCTCGATGGACTGTGATTCTGTGTCCACGGGATTGGCTGCTGTGTAGCTCCCAAGAAACCAGACAAAGCTCTGAACACCAAAGGCTCTTTTGGTGGTGAAATGAAATATGAAGCGTTGCAACTTACATTCTCGTCTTGTTGGATAAAGTCCGGAAGCCACGTTGCAGGGCTTTGCATTTTTCCATCAGCTGGAGTGACTTCTCATTCAGAGAGGAGCTGCTGGGAGACAGAGATGAAAACAGAGAGTCTGAAAATGAGAGCTTGTAAGATAGTGCTAACGGAAATCAGATTTAATTGATAAAGGGCGCCCAAACAAAGTCTGCTTCTCCATTCCTTTATTGGATTTCTCCATGGAAAAGGAAATTGATATTTTCACCTCTGACAGGTCAAAATTAAAAAAAAAAGTTTACACCAAAACACAGAAAATAAAACTCTTTAGGAATGATTTTTCTATTTTCCTATTTTGAGATCTGGTTTTTGAATGAGAGAGTAATGAAAGTGCTTGAATCACTGTGTAAGGAAATAGACTTTTGAAAATCTGCTGTCTCAGGTAGAAAATAAGCAGACACAGGAGATCAGGAATTAGCTTGTCAAGGAATCAAATTACCCAGAGTCTCGGAATATTATAATAGCAACAGGTGATCATAACTGTATTAAAGTCACATATATGATTATAGTATTAGAATTACTTGGATTCTTATAATAGCAGTGCTATAAGAATTTTTGGTCTTCAAGAACTTAGAAAAGTAGAGTTTGAAGAAAATAAAAACAAAACAGGTTTGATACATGGGGTATCGGGGTAGGGCTGCTTAGCTAAATAGCACACACGTGCACACACGCATACACATGTGCAAACACACACATGCACATACCAATTCTGTCAGACATCAACATCTGCACCTCAAGAGAGGGTGAAAGAGAAAGAGAGAGGGAGAGGGAGGGAGAAAGGGAGGGAGAGAGAGAGGGATATAGAGGGAGGGAGAGAGAAAGGGAGGGAGAGGGGAATGGAGAGAGAGCGAGAGAGAGGAGAGAGGGAGAGAGAGGGGGAGAGAGGAAGAGAGAAGGGGAGAGAGGAGAGAGGGAGAAAGAGTGAGGGGGAGAGAGAGGGAGAGAGAAGGAGAGAGAGAAAGGGAGGGTGAGAGAGAAGGGAGAGAGAAGGATAAAGAGGGAGAGAGAGGCAGAGGGGGAGAGGGGGAGAGAGAGGAACAGAAAGGGAGGGAGAGAGAGGGAGAGGGAGAGAGAGAGGGAAAGAGAAGGAGGGAGGGGGAGGAAGGGAGGGAGGGAGAGGTAGAGGTAGAGATAGAGAGAGAGAGAGGGAGAAGACCCTATGAGGACCCCATGGTGCCTGGGTTGACAGATTGCATGCTCCAAACACTGGTACCAATCACTTTCTCTCAAGTTCAAAACAGAAATTCCCTCAAGTTCAAGCAGACACCTTCAACTTGCAATGAATGTCTTTACTTCATTAACCTAAAGATCTTGGCTGAATCTACAGAGCTGGGAAGCTGCCAGCCCAGAATGCTCAGGGTGCAGAGGTGGGTAAAGGCAACACAACAGGGGGTGCCAGAACCGTAGCACAACAGGGGAGGCCGGAGCCACAGCACGGAGGGGAGAGCCTTTGCCTTCATGTGGTCGGCGGAGTTCGATCCCCAGCATCTTGTATGAGCACCGCTGGGAGTAATTCCTAAGTGAAGATACAGGAGTAAGCCCTGAGCATCTCCAAGTGTGACCCAAAGACCACCCCCAAAAAGAGAACAAGAACAAGGTCTGATCCCCAGAACTGTCTGCCACCTGCCCCAGCACCACCAGGAACGGCCCCCACAATAGAACACGGCACGACCCACCCCCTAGCAGAACACACTGTCTGTTCAGGGAGGACATGAGTTACCAGAACTCCCATGAGAATGAGAACTGGGTGTGGCGTGGGAGGCATGGAGGGGAGAGGTTAGGGCAGCTCTGTGTGCCAAAGAGGGGGCCACAGGGAGGTCAGCTAAGGACCCCAAGTCAGTCACAGAGGTGGCGAACCTCCAGAAAAGCCCACAGGAGTTGATAAGTGACAGGAAGGGGAGGGAGTATTCTAAAAGAAACAGCATGGACAAAAGCTCCAGAATATTCCAAAGAAGGTAGGTAGGACTGCACATGGGAACTTCCGGTATAGCATGAGGGCCAGAGCTTGCTGTGGACCCGGTGTGCCATGCTGTGAGTTTCTGCCGATAAGATGAAAGGCGGCAGAGGGAGGAGCCCCGAAGTCCATCTTGAGAGGTTCACCAGGTGGGGAAAGGAAGCCAGGAAAGGCTGAGCCACAGACAGCAGGAGCGTCAGCAGGAGGATTCCAGCAGCTTCTACGGAAGAGACAGAAGGGATTTGTTTCCCGGGTGGGCTGGCACAGGCAGTCACGCTGTACAACTAAGGTGGCTGTCGGGTGGCTCTGCGGGGAGGTCAGCTGCCACTGCGGAGGGCTCCGGTCTGCTCCCGTGCCCTGTGGCTCCATCATTTCACAGACCTGCTACTGGCACTGCAGCCCTGGCCGCGTGGGAGGGGGTGCAGCACCAGTGGCCACAGCTGCTAACAGAGAGAGAAGCTGCCCGCTGGCCTCAGCCTGTGTCCAGGGAGCCACCAGTCGGGCTGGCTGCTGTGGCCAGGGACATTCTGGGTGCAGAGGGCGCATCTGGACAAGCCACACAAGCTGTGTGTGTTGGATCCAGATTGACCCACCAGGCCACAGTGCTCGAGGGAGAGTCTATGGGCTTGGTGGGCAAAATGGGCGGCCAGTGATTTCACTGAGATGGATGGCCAACTGGCCTCAAATAAAGAAATTTTTAAAATGGCAAAACAAGGGGATGAAAGGCTCCTCATGCTTGGAGCAAGCTCAAATCAAAGAGAAACAAGCTCAGAAAACAAAATAACAAGCTCACAAAACAAGTTCAAAGCAAAGCAGAGAGACGCCAACTCCTGGCACTAATAGCAGAAAAGGTGTAGCTTTAGAGGGACTGAGTGGGACTGGTAGCTTCACATATGGTTGGAGTAGAGCAAAATAAATGCATTCACCATTTTTCGGGAATGAATCAAAAAAAATTTTTTGGCTTTTTGGGTCACACCTGGTGATACTCAGGGGTTACTCCTGGTTCTGCACTCAGGAATTACTCCTAGCGGTGCTCAGGGACCACTTGGGATGCTTGGAATCGAACCCGGGTATATCACATGAAAGGCAAAATGTCCTACCCGCTGTACCATCCTCCAAACAAAAAACACTGTCCTCCCGTTGTTCATCGATTTGCTCGAGTGGGCCCAGTAACATCTCCATTGTGAGACTTCTTGTTACTGTGTTTGGCATATTGAATACATCACGGGTAGCTTGCCAGGCTCTCCAAGAGGGGCGGAGGAATCGAACCTGGCTCAGCCGGGCTGGCTGCGCACAAGGCAAATGCCCTACCGCTGTGCTATCACTCCAACCCATCACTCCAGCCCCCCAAAATTTCATTTTGCAGGCGGGGCAAACACACACACATAAAAACCCAAATAGGAGACTGCTGCCATCCTGGCTCGACAGGAGATGCACATGCCCACCGATCTCCAGGAGCCAAGCACTCCAATCCCAGCAGCTGGTCATCTCACCTGTGTCCATCAGCTCTAGGGGCCGACAGGTGGCTGTGTAATTCTGGAGGTAAGAACAGCCACCATGATTGCTCACTGGAGGCTGGAGGTGACAGTGATGAAGGGAAAGGCAGAAACAAGAGCAAGCAATTCCTAGTTCTCGCACCAGGATTTCTCAGAAACGCTTTGGAAATTCTCTGGTTACCAAGTATTTCTTACAAAAATCTCTTCCTCTGCAGAGAATCGTCCTCTCTCACTCTACTTTCTTCATCCCTGTCCCTCTCCTCAGTTCCAGAAAGCATTCTGGACTTCCCAGGGCTCTGTTGGAATGTCTAATTTGCTGTGTATTTCATCCAGGCAGCTCCCATTAATGAAGCGAATGACCAAGCCAGCAGTGCTTTGAATAACGATGGCTTTGCAATTTCCAGTCCTCAAACAGTGACAGGCAGACACCAATTGGATTTTATGTCCTTAAATCGGAGAGTGTCTTTGTTAATAAAAAGTCGAAACCGTTTTACCCAGCTAAGATCATAGCGGGCACTCGGGGGAGAAAGGAGCAGGTCTGGGTGAGGAACATGAGGACAACAGGATGAAGTCATCAGGGAAACTGGGTTTGAGGGTCAGCCTCTAGACAGCTGGGGGTCCCTCTCTGCTCTGGGCCTGCAAGCCTGCAGGCATCTGCTTCTTAATCTTTACTCAATGGAATCATTACACAGATACTCTAATTATTTGTGTGTTACCCTCTCATACAAATGTTAAAATTTAACCTCTGGTACTTCCTTTTTTTGCTGTTTTTTTTTGGGAGGCAGGCAGGTACTACACCAAGTGGTGCTCTGGGTTGCACCTGACTCTGTGCTCAGTCTAGTGGTGCCGGGGCAACATATGTGGTACGGGGATTCGAACTCAGGTCAAGGCATCAGCTACATGTAAGGCAATGAGAGGTATTAGGGTTTCACACTTCTTTTTCTTTAAGTTTTTTATTGACTCTCCATAAAGGTACAGTTGGGCTGGAGCGATAGCACAGCGGGTAGGGCGTTCGCCTTACAAGCGGCCAACATGGCCGACCCGAGTTCGATTCCTCCGCCCCTCTCGGCGAGCCCGGCAAGCTACCGAGAGTATTCGATATGCCAGACACAGTAACAACAAAGTCTCCAATGGAGACGTTACTGGGCCCGCTCGAGCAAAGGTACAGTTACAAAGATATTTATGATTGTTTCAGGCATGTATTGTTCCAACACCAGTTCCTTCATCAGTGTCCGCTACCCTTTATCCATATCCACAGTTTCCCTCCCACCCGCAGGTTCTGAGGCAGGCACTTTGCCCTTCCCCCATGGTCCTAGAGTGCTCTCTCCTAACTTATCCCCCCACCCAAGCCCCAGTACTGAGCTTCCCACTGAAGACCAATTTCCCTGCTCTTCATTCGCATGGTCACTGGGTACTTGCTAGTCCCCTGACGTTTCTTTACATCCCCATAGGAGAGAGATCATCCTGAGTCTGTTCCTCTCCCTCTGATGGATTCCACACAACAGACACTCTCCAGATACACACACATTGCCAAAAACTGCATGGCTTTCACTTCGCATTCCCAGGAAGCAACTAAGGACTCTTGCCTTCTTCTAACTGTA